GAATGGAATCCTGCGCTCATCGCGTCTTCCCGCCTGAGACTGATTTATCCTGAACAGACAAGTTCCTGCACCGGGTGCCCAACACGGGCCCGGGAAGTGTGTGACTGCTGGAGTCTGAGAATTACACGGTGAGGGAAATGTTGGTGAAATACGAGAGAAATGTCTTCCATGGATATCCCCATTTCTGCTAAATCCCAAATAATTTGTTTTACTTTATCTGCCTTTTGTTGTTATCGCAAGGACGAGATTCAGTGTTTCTCTGTACTTTTGGATTAAAGTGGACCTGTCAATAACTTTACAAGTCTACAACAATACATTCCTGACCTGCCACAAAATACAGCAACGGTATCATTTTTCGGAAACATTTCACCTTTTATCATTAAAGGAGAACTATGGGGTCAGGGCTTTTCCCCATAGTTCTCCTTAGCATAACGGGAGGACACAAACTAGCGTCCTCCCGTCACCGTAGGCTCAGTATACCGCGAGCTGTAGCTCCCTGTATAGTGAGACGCCGCAGCTGAAGCGGATCCCGACAATTATGCCGGGATCCGCCCAGCTGCGTGACTGACAGCTGGCTCTGCCTATCTAGAGGCAGAGCCAGCTGTACCCGCCCCCTCCCCCGTCCGTTCCGCCAGTCAGCGCTGGGGGATCGGAGCGGGGAGGGGGACATCCAGCCCCTACCCTGTCACGGCAGAGAGCCGTGACAGGATCGAGAGGCGAGCGAACGCCGGTATGTGTTCGCTCACCTCCCGATCTACTGAGCCGACCTGTGACAGTCTCACAGGCTAGAACTATGAGGTGAGTGAAAAGCACCCCCCTCATAGTTCTCCTTTAAAAAGTCATCCTTCAGCTCCAGTCAGTACAACAATTGTATCATTATATTACATATTACAGCTACATCTTGTATTAATCACTGAAAAGTAGGGATGCAGCGATACCGGTATTTTGGTACCGAGTACCAATATTTTTTTTCCGGTACTCGCCGATACCAATTACCGAGTACCGGAAGTCCCATTCAGGAAACCAGGCGGCGTGTAATGACTCGCCACCCGACTTCCTGATTAACAAGAAAGCCGTCCCATGCTTCTCGTCACTACGTGACGAGAAAGCATGGAGCCGGCTTGCTGGCCAATCATGGAAGCCGGGCGCCGTGTAATGACGCCGCGCCCTGCTTCATAATTGGCCTGGAGGCCGGCACCGTGCTCCCTCGTCATGAGATGACGAGGGAGCATAAAGCCGGCTTCCCGACCAATCAGGAAGCCGGGCAGCGCGTCATTACACGGTGCCCGGCTTCCTCATACAGGAAGTATCAGGCTAGGCATCGGAGCATTTGGGCGAGTACTCGGCAAAATACTCAGTATCGGCACCGATATCGATACTAGTATCGGTGCATCCCTACTGAAAAGCCATCGTTCACCTCCAGTCTGTGACTTTTCCTAGGCTGAGATGATGATATCAGTCTGCTGCAGGCAGGAGGAAGCATTTCCTCAGTCCCCCCTCCCGCAGTGATCAGTCTGCTGTAGGCAGAAGGAAGAAGCATTTCCTCAGTCTCCCCTCCCCCAGGGATCAGTCTGCTGCAGGCAGGAGGAAGAAGCATTTCCTCAGTCTCCCCTCCCCCAGTGATCTAAATGCAATATTGTAACTTTGCAGCAAGTCAAGATGATCTGTATCAGACATTTGTGAACGTAGCTAAGAAGTGCACAGGCACCGGGATTTACATGATTGTGTTTTCTCCAAGCGGCCATCTCAATCCAGTGGGAAGTAGATGGTGACCCTGGATGATGCCTGAACAAAGATGGCGCTGTCCTTTTGGAGAGAAAAGCAGGTGAAGGCATTGTCAGGGGGAGTCCTGTGATCTCCGTGATCAATACCTGGAACCAAAACATTACTTAGTATTCATTTGGATAAGATCTATACCTTCTGTTAGGTGCTCAGAGAATACCATCCCTTGTCCCCATCCCAGGGAGTTTATATACAGCAGGGGCGCCCATTAGGTAGATGGTGATCGTAGCTCTCAAAGCTGATGCTGGTAGATCAGGAAGGGGGGGGGGGG